ATGATCTCACAGTTTCGTGAGTTCGAGCCCCACGTCGGGCTCTGAGCTGACAGCGAGGGGCCTGCTTGGCATTCTCTCTCCTCCTCTCTCTCTCTCTCTCTCTCTGCGCCTCCCCCACTCTCTCTCTCTCTCTCTCTGTCTCTGTCTCAAAACTAACTAACTAAGTAAATAAATTCTTGGCATCATTCGTGGCAAACGAGGAGCCTGGCCAGGCTCCCCCAACCCGTGGGACGCTGGTCCCTCCTTCGGCCCTACTCAGGTCGCACCTACAGAAGTCACATCGTGGGTGACGGAGCAGGACGGAGCACGCCGGGCTGGGCGAGGCCTTTGGGGAAGCAGCTTACATCTGGACATCCCCACCACAGGGCCGGACCTGCTAGCCTGCCAGATAATGTTCCGTGATCCTGTTTATCGTATACACGTTAAGCTATTCCTTTCCTCCTCAAGGAAGCAAGTTGTGCAAAGGTCCTGGACCCCCTCTGCGGGGAATGGAAGGCCTTCCCTGGTTTCTGTGGACAATCGTATGACCGTGCCCGGGGGGACTCAGCAGTAGGCATGGGAGAAACCCTTCCGGGCTGGGTGAGCTGCACGAGCTCCAAGGTTCAGGGCCGCCTGGACCCTTGGGAAAGGCCACCTTCGATGGAAGGCTGAAGGCACAGTCCTGGACAGAGTAAAATACCTCGAGCAGCCTCCGTCCCCCGCAGTTTCCATCTCGCTGGGATAACACGACTTGAAATAGGGTCTAACAGAAGAGAAGACATTCTGAACTTTGGCGGGTCTGCGAACACCACCTCGCTTCCCCCTCGGCCTTCACGATGGCCCCTCTGGCCAGCTCCAGTGCTCACACCCGCGTGGGAAAATGCTCACGCTCCGCACCCAGGGGGCGAGCGCACTGACCCTCTCCTCCCTGCCCTGTGTGACCCAGGTCTCCTCTGCCCTGGCCCTGGGAGTCAGTCCCCGTCAGGTTCTCTACTGGGGGTGACGGGAGCCGCCCAGCACACGCCGGAGACAGAGAGGAACCCTTCCAAGTGCACCGACCACGCGCTTTGCGATTTCCAGCAGGGACCCAGGCTCCGTTACCGCCCCCTGACACAGCGTCTCCCCCCATCGCTCAAGTGAGAAGGTTAACTGAGCCCGATTCACTGCCACGCTCATCGTTCTCGTTCCAGTGAGCCCTGGTTCACAGGCTTTAATTCGGAGCACCCAAAGCCAACCACAGAGCCTTCCGGCCCCGCGGGTCCCGGGCCTACCTTCAGGAACAACATCCTCCTACAGTTCTTGCCTCGATCGCCCCCAGCGGCGTGGAGCTGAGCCGCCTCCGAGGCCGGCGTTAGATCAGGAAGGCTGCCGGGCCCGGCCTCCGATGTGTCCGCCAGCTGCACCGACGAGTGGAAAATCCGCTCCCTGCCCTGGCCCAGGGGCATCTCAAAGGGATCGGGGTACTTCTCGTCGGGGCTCGAGCCGTCGTCGCTGGTCTTAGCGTGACAGAGCATCAGGGAGCGGGAGACAGACCGCAGTTTCGCGGACTTCCTGCTCCTGCCAGCGCGGCCGTGCGGGTCCATCCTCAGAGACGCCGCAGCACTGCCCTTCGTTTTCTCCTGGCCCGCGGCCCTCGGCTGGCGGGCGCTGGCCGGGCTGGGCTTGGCCACCGCTTTGTCGCGCCCTGGAGGAAAGAGGAAGCGGAAAGAGGCCGTGTGACTTGCCCGTGGCAGGCGGAGCCAGACGAGGGCCCTGGTACGGAGCCGTGGGTGCCGTGCCCGTGAAGCAGGGCAGACCGTGGCTCTGGCCTGTCCACGCGGCCGGCCGGGTGGGGGCCCCATGACCCCGCGTGCTTGCCACGCCCTCCATTCCCAGGACCGTGGAGACCAGGGCTTCTCGCATCCACACCCTCACTCTGCAGGTGGGGAAACTGAGGCACCAGAGGGGAAACGCAGCCCCCAAGCCACCGGCGGAAGAAGCGGGGCCACGGGACGGTTTTGGAGATGACGGAGGCCCGTGCGTTGTGACATCTGCACTTCCGACGACTTGGCAGGGGCTCGGGTCTACAGAGCGGGTCGGGGGACGGGGTGGGGGTGGGGGTGCCGCTGCCCGTCCCCTCTCTCTACCCCCGGTGAGTCCCGCAGCACCTCCGGAGAAAGCCCAGATCCAGGAGCCCAGTCTGCTGAGCGCTGCTGCCTTGGGCGCCCCCTTCCCGGACGCAGAACCCGGGACCCCGTTGGGAGCGCCGTCCGGGGCCCACCCGCCACGGTCGATGTGAGCGTCAAAGAAGGTAGTGCGAGGGAAGGGTCGGGGCCTCGCAGGCAGCAGGCACCTGGCAAACCAACGTGCCCTTCCCCCGCCAGGGCTCCAGCTCCGTCAGCGACCCCCCCCCTCCGCCCCCCACCTCACAGCCTGACGGGCCAGGCACCGGCTTCTTTTGCGCCATCGGTCAACACGTCTGTCTCGGCCCGGCCCGGCTCAGCTTGGCCAAGGAGGCGCCTCCCGCGGGCTTCAGTTTCCGGGAGGCAGGTGGCCAAAGGGGTCCATCCATCCGAACAGGTCCCGACTCGGGTCCAAGCCACAGAGCGGAGCTGTCGCCAGAGCAGCGTGCTGTGCCCCCGCTGTTCGGCGCACAGCCAGCATCCAGTAAGGAAAAGCGGAGACCGTGCACACTTTCGCTGAATACAAGCCTTTCAGAGCCCCCGCAGAGGGGTCGCTCTTCAAAGACGGCTGTTGTCCGACACCCAACTGGCACAAATGGACTGTTTTCTGTATTAGCCTTTTAATTGTACTGAGTTATTCACCAGCCATTTCTAGCAACCCACAGCAGTGAATTAAAGCGGACGGAAGAATGCATCCGGGGAAGATTGCTCTGGAGGCTGGAGTATAGGTCAACTCAACACAGGCGCATTCCGTCTCGCACCCTCGTGCCAGGATCTCAAAGCCCTGTGCTCTGCATCCTTCTTTCTTTCTTTTTTGTTCAACATTTATTTATTATTGAAAGACAGAGCATGAGCAGGGGAGGGGCAGAGAGAGAGGGAGACACAGAATCCCAAGCGGGCTCCCAGGCTCCGAGCCGTTGGCGCAGAGCCCGACGCGGGGCTCGAACCCACGCGCCACAAGATCATGACCTGAGCCGAAGTCGGAGGCTCAACCGACTGAGCCCCCCCAGGCGCCCCACGGATCCTTCTATTTTAAGCGATAGAGACCTCAGAGCCAGACCGTTGCTGACCCCCATCCTGGCCGCAGCATCCCGAGCCCTGCAGGGGACACCCCCTCTCCTGAGCAGCCCGGGGCTGTGAGACACGTGCGGCTGCCCCCCAGACCCCCGGCTCCGGCCGTTTCCAGAGTCAGCCTGATGGTAAACCCTCGTCAACAATGACTAGAGTCCCTCACTCCCTGTCACGAACAGATAAGGTCGCCTGCCGTTTCACGGAAACGTAGAAGCTGCCAGTGAGCGATGCCCACGACTTTCTACCGTCTACAAATGCCTTTGCCCCCATCCATCCACTGCCTACACGCCCTCGGCAGCGGGACCTCCGCCCGCCTCGGGAGGCTGGCCTGCCGTCCGTTCCCTGGACCCCCCTCCCGCAGCGGGTGGAGGCACAGAGAGGTTAAGTCACTCTCTCAAGATCACGCAGCTAGGACTCGGTGAGAGCAGGACCAAAACCAGGCAGTGGGACTGTCACGGGCAGGTCACCCGATGTCTCCTCCGTGCCGGGTCTCCAGCAGCAGTGTGCGAACACAGCCAGGTCGTTTCTGCCTTTGAAAAACTGCCTGTCGACCCACAGCCTCTCTTTTTCTTCCTCTGTCTTTTGCTCAGGTGAGGATACTAAACAGGAGACCTACTATCCTAACAGATTTGTGAGGGTCCCCGGTTATCCTCGGCACCACGGTGGCGGTGGAATATTATCGCTTCTTATCTTCCTGAACAGATGTTTCCCACTCTGCACTTTCTGTCCTAACACTCACCTCCCTGTGAGCCCCCAGCCCACAGTCTGCTTCCTTCCCCTGAAACCGCGGGAACTCTCGCTGTATCAGTTCTGCAACCGACGTGGCCCAAAGTCACGAACCCGGGTCCAGAGGGCACAGTCTGCTGGCCTGGAACCTGCTTCGTTTCGCGAGGGAATTACTGGGACCAGAAGTTCAACGCTCAGATCTGTTGGCTGAAGGATGCATAGAATTCAAGCTGTTTAGTGGGGTTTCCCCCCCTCTCTTTACTTCCAGACGGCACCTTTCGAGTCCCAGTGGAAGATGCTGTCCTTCCGGCCACCGGCCCCCAGAAACAGGAGCTCCTTCCATTCTGTCAGTTCAACTTCCCAGAACTAGCAACTCGCAATGCAAACCTTGCGGTAAGTATTTATATCCTTATGACCAAACTCCTTTGCATTTTGTTTGACTTTATTAGGACTCCCCACAATCCACCTGGGCCTCATGGAGGAGGAGGTTGTGTGTGTGTGTGTGTGTGTGTGTGTGTGTGTGTGTTTCTCATAGGCAGCCCTGGTCCATCAAGCATTTGAAAGGCCGAAGGATAATCAAAGCTTTGTGTTAAAGAGCCTTCTGGACTTGCACAGTACTAAACAGGGAGGGTATAAACACGGAGTTACTGAGGGCCACTGCGTGAGTAGAGCTGCCGAGAGTTGAGCCAACACAGAAAGTCCAGAACTCACAGAGGTTGGGGGACAAGAAGAGAGGAAGGAAGGAGGACAGAGAGAAAGAGCAAGAGTGAGCAAGAGGGAAGAATTCAAATGATATACTATGAGCACCTGGATCCAGCCATGCCTGATGCTATCCTATCTGTTTACTTACACAAATTAATAGACTTCTCTTTTTGCCTAAAAGAAAAAACTCCTCCTGGAATGGTTGTTCTTCTCTCTGAGACTAAAAGGAAAGCAGTGACATCCAGGGACCAAGAGGCTTCTCCAAACGTCTTTTATCCCACCCCAAGCCTAGGAGAGGAGCCAGTCATCCGCAGTCAAACCGAAACTCTCCCCTCCGGCGCCGGGCTCTGGCATAAAAGCCTGTGCGTTTTTTTCCCACCGAGCTTTGTCACCACCCGCATGGATTCTTAGGGTGCAAACCCAATTCTCTTCCCGTCCACATTCTCCCCCAACCCACCATAAGCTCACCCGCCATGCACTTTCCAGGACACAGACATCTAGGGACTTCGGGACCAGGTGAAAGGCTGTGTGTTTCACTCAGCGGGTGGAAAAGCTGGCTGCCTGTGGGATTTAGGAGAGCAGACGGCTCAGACTCCTCGGTGGAATCTGTGCTGGTCCCGGCGGACCATTTGCAGGAGTGACACACGAGTACCGTCAGTTTTTAAAAATAAACTTTTCCAGAGGGAACCGTGACCCTCTGCAGCCTTCGCTCTCGTGTGAGGTGGCCGTGGCCATGGGATGGGAGGCTGGCGATGTGCTGGGGGCAAGTGGGGGGAGCCCTTTGGTCCAGAGCACAGACGGTTTTCAAAACGAGCTTTGTTTTTATGGAAAATATAAAACAGGGAGGGAATCATTGCAAAGGGTTGTAGTGAAGCGGCCAGAATTGGACTTCTGTGGGAGACTGCCTTCCCCCTAGGCCTGGCAGCGAGGGACCGAGGGAGAAAGAAGGGAGAGAGAATAATTGGAAACACAGTGCTGCGGTCACATGGTTCCTCTTAGCCTCGGTAACTGCACTCAGGACACGGGGACCAGCTGCTGCTCCCAATGGGACCAAATGTCGGCAGAGCTCGGGGACAAGCCCGTGCCTTCCCCAGTGCAAGCAACCCGTCCAGAGTTCTTCCAGGATGGACGGACGTGCCCTCTCTGATTTGGCCCCAGGCTCCGGGAGCACTTGCCGGGCTCTTGTGGGGTTTTCCCTGCCCCTAGTGAGTCCTCCATAAGACGACGTTAGGAGTCTCTTCCAGAGGCTTCCTCGGGAAGCGCAGAGGTTTCCAGCATGGCTATGCTAATGGGACCAGCTGCTTTCACTTCCGGAAGAAGAACCCAGAAGATCTGGCTTTGCCCCAGGAAAGGGTTCTCCTGCTCCCTGAAGGCCTCTCCCTCTCAACCGTGATGGCACTCGCTCTTCCCTTACATCTTCCACAGAAGCCCCCCCCCCAAGGCAGGGTGCCCCCAGGCAGGGTAAGGACTGACACAGCATCACGTTCTCAGCGGCCCTTCGGCCAACAGCGACTGCACCGTCATCCCTATAGAAAATGCAAAGCCAGGGGCACCTGGGTGGCTCAGTCTGTCGAGCGTCCAACTTCAGCTCAGGTCACGGTCTCACGGTCTGTGAGTTCAAGCCCCGCACCGGGCTGTGTGCTGACAGCTTGGAGCCTGGATCCTGCTTCGGATTCTGTGTCCCCCTCTCCCTCCCTCTCTCTCTCTCTCTCTCTCTCTCTCTCTCTCTCTCTCTCTCAAAAATAAATAAACATTAAAATATGTGTTTTTTGAAAAGAGCAAAGCCAAAAGGTTAGAGCCAACGTGCAAAGAAATGGCTAGTTCCTCCTTTAAAGGAGTTTGAAAAACTTCTAGACGGTGCTGGGGAGCAGGGTCAGCCCTCCTTCCCTCCCTCCCTTCCTCCCTTCCTTCCTTCCCGTTTGTTCCATTCAGCAAAC